AGTTTCTGGAATGCTAGCAGACAATACATCAAGTTGTAGGGAAAAAAAAAAATCCTATTTTCACTGACCTATCTGGTATCATAACTTTGATGTTTAAATACAAATGTTTGCCAGATCCAGCACTAAGACATAACTTCAAATATTACAGCTGGGGATTTAACTTAGCCTAAATATTAACCTTACTCTATTTGCACGTATCTTGTGAACAGATGGGTAGGTAAAAGAGCTATCAAAATAGTCTCAACAGGCTTTCAGTCAGCTGGCCAAATAAAAAGGGATTTAAAAAAAAAATTGGTTGTAAAAAAAGCATCCTCATGTTAGACATTTGTCTTCAAAACGTTTTACTGACCACGCGGTTATGGGGTTATGGCATTACTATTGGCTTCCTTCAACCTAAAACCCAGAAGGCTGTTGTGTGTATGTTGTGTGTCCCGTCCCTCCCCAAACCAACACCAACCAAACCAAACAAACAAAACCCCAAACAAAAACCACACATGCTCAAATATAAACCGAAAGCTGTCCTCAATCCATGTGTCAATACAGAATGTGATAATTACACTAGGAAAGGATAAGCCTATGAAAAGCCTGAAAATCATACATATTTGCAAAAGAAACTCCTAAGTTATCTTTGCCCCTCCTAAACAGCAAGAGTCTCTTTCAGACTGAATGCAGAAATTTTTCCCTGCCATGATATTCTTTTGCTATGGTTCACAGATTTCTTAAGTGAAAAAAAAACAAACAAACAAGAAATTTTACAACCTTCTCAGTCTTACTCATTCCTCAGCAATACATGGGCACTAAGGATCCAGCTAGGCACAAAAAAAGTAAAGTCACACATCAGCCTTTAGTTTGAAAATGATGTTTAAGTTTTTTTTGGCTGGTCCATATGCAGTTTTCTCTGCTCTCATATCTATTCAGACACCAGATAGTTTTCAGAAGTTCTATTTCTATAGAACAGAGAGTGTACAGCAATGTCACTGTTCCTCAAGTCTTTGATTTACAGCTTGAACACTCAAAGGACTTCAGTTTTGCTTTTTGCTGTTAGGTAAAGCTGTTTATGTTACATTTTTCCCCTCAAAACTTCTTAACTAAGATTGGGTACAAAAGCAGTCATGTCTATCCGGAACACTCCAGCATCAATCTTGTTTCTACTCATGACAGCTCCATGAAAAACTGCTTGCTGCTCCTTCTCCATAGAAGCACGAAGCCAGCATACTCTTCAGTGCATCAGCTTCATCCTTCCTCCAGTTCCCCCTCATGTACATGCAAGGTAAGAGGAAAACAGTGTCCTCCACCTTCATTTTTCACTTTACTTTGTCATATGCTGACCTGTTCTTCTCACGCAATTGTCATTCATCTGACACCTGCTTCTTATCAGCTTTTTTTCTGCAGCAAATCCTCTGGAATATATACTGCATTGTTTTACTACAGCCACCTTCAACTCAGCAGTCCTCAGGAGCACTCAGCTCTAATCCCTCTCCACAGCTTCCTTCCTGCAGCTGTAGTGAAACATGTATGCCCACATGTGGAAGATGGAAAGGATATTCCTAGCTACTTCCCTGCTTCCTGATTATTATTTTTAAACTCTGCCTTACTACGTTTAACTTGACACAAACTGGTAAAAGCTAAGGCACTGAAGGACAGAGCCTGAAACACTCTCCCCTCCTTTCTTCTCAACTGCTGTTTAATTTTGAACTCCCATCTTGGTCTAAAGGCCCACTGTCCAAGCTGATTCTTCCTCTCCTGTGCTCATTTACTGTCTCTTGCAGACTGGTACTTAGTTTGTAGCTTAAGATCAGTGGGACTGGATCTCAAGTCCCTTTTATCTTTGTCTTGCTTTAAAACTGTTGTTTGGTTTTTGTTTTGTTTTTTTTTAATCCAGGGTTTAAACAGGCATTGCACTCAGCAAAAGGAAGACTGTAAGACAACACTTTCTAACATGCCATCCACAAACACAGCTTGAGAATGAACGCTTAAGAAGTCAATAAAGGATGAATTAAAAAACAAAACAAAACAAAACACAAAAACTCAAAACACCAAAGCAAGACTTACTAGTGACCCTAAATGCAGCAGAACAGATGGGAAGAAAAATGAGTGTGAGAAATCTGAAAAGACTAAAGGAAAACCGTGTTTTATTTGAGAAACAAATTCACTTTTTGAAAATGACAGAAGTATTGCTGGGATAAATTTTAAGTAATAGACTGTATCAACAAAAGGAAATGGTATCAGTACAAATTATTCACTTCTCTTGAAGTGCGTCAATATCTGTTCAAACTCTGTGAATCTAAAACTGTTTTTGTTTATTTAGGAATGGCAAAGAAGTCCATAGAGAAAAAAACCCCTGCGTGTTCTTCACAAATGAACTAAACTAGACCATGGCCCCAGCCATCAGAACTTTTAGGGCATGAATCAATTCCATCATACCAGTATATGACATCACTGACAACGCTTATAAACTCATATAACCTATTACCTGTGAAGGAATGCAATCACAAATAGAGTTAAAAATAGGAATTCCTCAAGCATTTGAACTCTTTTAGTATCTCAAGACACTACAGGCCACACAGACAAACTCATGCATTCTCATCATTCTAAAGACCTGGTATCATATTCGTGCTGTTATCTAAACGTTACAGTCTCTGAAGACAAAGTCAAGTGAACAGTGGATGTGCAACAACCAAAATTGGGGGGTTTTAATCACTTTGTAAGCAACATCAGCCTATTTGTAAAAACAAGCTACTTGGAAATTACTGGAACTGAGTCCTTCACTAAAAACACGTATCTACATTTATTCTTATACATGCATTATTAGGATGCATTTCTTCCCTCAAGTCTGCTCTAGACACATAACTAGTCTCCTCACTAAAACTTCTATTCCATACCCTTCTTATTCTTTTTATTCTGTTTCTTCCTCTCAGTCGTCAAACTCCTGCCTCCTCCAGTGTAGCAACTTGCCTGAAAAGCAAATTCTCTTGTCCAGCCAAAGTAAATCTGTTTCGCCTACTTCTGCAATACATTATATTTACCTGCTGCTTTTTAATGCTACCAAACAGCAACGCTTTCAAGTAGACCACGAGTCCGCACCTTGGAAATGCTTGAAAGCCGTTCTCAGCAATGCTACAGAATATACTTAGGTGTCTCGCTTCGGGCTTTTTTTCCTTGCTAAACCACAATGAAAAGACAGCGTGCCAAAATCACAGGCACTGCGAGTTAGGGAAAGTCAGACGGGGACTTTATAAAGTTTGGAGAAAACGCCATCGATCCCGCGAACGCGCCGGACACCTCTCAAAAGTTCGGGGAGGCGAAGGGGGGCCCCGTTGTCATTTGGTGAGAGATCAAAATCCAACCTATGCAAAAGCGCACATTTCTGCACTTTCTCATGCAGCTTCGCCCGTCTGTTTGGCTTGGCTCGGTCTCCCGCTGGAAGCCTGCCTCAGGGAAACCAGCTCAGTGCGAGAAAGCCTCCTATCTTTTTTTTTTTAAACTTCTTTCTTTCCCTTTTCCTCTGTTTAAAGGGCAGCTCCAGCTCCATCCCCGCCGC